CCACCTGCTGCCGCCCCAGCTGCTGTGTGTCCAGCTGCTGCAGGCCCCAGTGCTGCCAGTCTGTGTGCTGCCAGCCCACCTGCTGCAGGCCCCAGTGCTGCCGCCCCAGCTGCTGTGTGTCCAGCTGCTGCAGGCCCCAGTGCTGCATCTCCAGCTGCTGCCGCCCCTCCTGTGGTAGCTCCAGCTGCTGTGGCTCCAGCTGCTGCCGCCGCTGCTGGTCCTGCTGCCTGCGCCCCGTGTGTGGCCAGGTGTCCTGCCACACCTCTTGCTACCGTGAAGAACAAGCACCCAGGAAGTCTCCCAGTGTGGCCCTCAGAACTAGAGTGTCAGCGTCTCCGAGTCCTCATTAGAAACCCAGGGCCTGAGGCTCTCCAGATGCTCAGGAATTCTGGGGGTGCCCAGCTGCCCATGGATTCACAAGCCCTCAGATGACCTGGACGGATGCTAGGGACACAGGAGATGCACGCTAGAGACACAGCTTTCAAGCCGCAAGACACGTACATTGTACCAGAAGGGCTCCAGATGTCCCCTCGGGAGCACACAGGCCTCCAGGGTCTGACAAAGTGCACCCCAAGTAGAGGAGAGGCAGGCAGCAATTTGATGAGGTGGAGTTTACCAGAACCCACTGACACTTCAGAAAGACCCTAAATACTGTCAGAGATTACCCGGCTCTGCAGGCAAGTGCTGAAGAGACGCAGGTTTTGATTATTCAAAAAAATTTTTGGCTCTACCGTGAAATGCTTTTAATTAATGAGATAAGAAATAGAAATGATGCCGCATGACCCGGAATCTAAGAGAGCAGAGGGAGAGACGGGACATAAACACAGGAGGCACAAAGTAGCAGGTTAAGAAACAGTGCACCATTGACCTCACATCTACACGGATGAGCTGCCAGACAGAAGTTTAAGGACAGAGCCCAGGACCCAGCACCATCCAGGGAAAAGCAACACCACTCCAGGGATGCAGTGGTCGCTCCCAGGACCTGCATGGAGAGCTTCCTCGTTGCTCTGAGATGAACCACACACAGGAGCTTGGTCCTCCCGTCCCAGCAGACCCACACTAAGCAGGAGCTCCCCCGCATGGGTCAGGGGAAGATTTCTGGGAATGTGAGTGGCCACCTGCCCTGGTGGCAGGGATCTCGGAGGGGAGAGCGGGATGGAGTCGAGAGGCAGAGCCTTATGTGTCGGCCCCAGTGGACGAGGTGACAAGCGTGGTCTGCCAGATGCCATTCAGTACAAGTCAGGGGAAAGCACCGCAGGGCGACTGATGACCCCCGGACCAAATTTCATTTCCAACAAATTATACCGCTAAAAGCACAAACACTGTTGGATAGTTTAATAATTACTTAGGTATTCAGTAAATAAAAACAAGGAAGACACATTAATGACAGGAGAATGGGCAGTGTATAAAAGGCTGTTGTACAAGGAGATTTCCAAACTCCAGCACCTCACTCTCTCGGAAACCCACCCAGCACCTCCAACCTCCAACACCATGGTCAATTCCTCTTGTGGCTCCGTCTGCTCCGAGCAGGGCTATGGCCAGGAGACCTGCTGCCAGCCCAGCTGCTGCCAGCCCAGCTGTTTCCAGACTACCTGCTGCAGGACCACTTGCTGCCGCCCCAGCTGCTGTGTGTCCAGCTGCTGCAGGCCCCAGTGCTGCCAGTCTGTGTGCTGCCAGCCCACCTGCTGCAGGCCCCAGTGCTGCCGCCCCAGCTGCTGTGTGTCCAGCTGCTGCAGGCCCCAGTGCTGCATCTCCAGCTGCTGCCGCCCCTCCTGTGGTAGCTCCAGCTGCTGTGGCTCCAGCTGCTGCCGCCGCTGCTGGTCCTGCTGCCTGCGCCCCGTGTGTGGCCAGGTGTCCTGCCACACCTCTTGCTACCGCCCCACCTGCATCATCTCCACCTGCCCCTGCCCCATGTGCTGCGCCATCCCCTGCTGCTGAGCTCCAGCTGTCATCTCTGTCACATTATGGACACCTTCTCTAGTCATGCAACACACGGTAGCCACCAAGTGACTGCCAAACCCTCTTCCAAAGAAAGTGGCTTAGGAGTTGCATTCTGTTCTTCTGGGAAATGGTAGATGAAAACACATTTGTTAAAAGATTTTTAAGCCACACCCAATTGCATCTATTTTTAGGCAAGCAATTTTTCATTCTAAGTGTATGCTAATTATGATGCTCTCAGAGAGTGTCGCTTCTGTGTATTCTCAATAAACAATTATTTCCCGTGATACTGAAATCTCCTGATTTGTTAACGATGTGCGTGTGAGTGTGTATGCTTGTTACCTGCCACTTCACATCCAGACCCACCTCTGTCCAGCTGTGGGGGATTTACGTCACCAGTGTTGGAATCAGGATGCACTGAGCATTTATCCTGTGACGTGGGGAAATCATTAACCTCTTCAGGCATCAAGTTTCTTTTCTGTGAAATCTTCAAAGGTTTAAGGACCGAACCCACACAACGCATGCAATCACAGGAACTAGCATATATGATCTCAACAAATGTAGCTTTATTGTTGAACTACTGCCCTGGGCCTGAGTAGCATTCTCTTTGACAAAACACCAAGTTTGTATAGCTGTTTCACTTACCAAAACTAAATTTTTGGGCCAAGGAATTAGCTCAGTGGTTCTGCCACCCGCTTTGGAAGCACAAGGTCCTGAGTTCGATCCCCGGTACCAAACAAAACAATACTAAGCTTTGGTATAGCCCTTAAGTGTCCTGTAAAACTCCAGTCAGGTGAGCATCTAAATTTCACCTGACTGTGTTTCCTCTTCCAGCATTGGCTGTATGTTTCAAAACTGCTTTAAACTCAAAATTTCTATACATTACATACGAGTAGTGTTATATTTACAAATATCAAGTGTACTGAGTTTTATTTTGAAGACTTAAAAAGGGTCTTCATATGTCAAGAGACAAAATGAATAGAAACTGGCACAATGTGAGTTTCGCCTCAGTGTCGTTGGGTGACGTATGCTTTAAATATCATAGAAATGTTTTCAGACACTTTCGGGTTCACCCCTTTTCACTTGCTCTAAATTGTTCTACAGAGAACAGACCTGCTTTTCCTTCACTAGGATTTGGAAATCTTTCATCTTCCCTTATGTTCTTCTTTGACAACTTCTAATTACGAGATACAAGCACTGGTTTTAATGGAATGCATTGTTAGCTGGAAGTGAATCAAAGCATAGTGACTTTACATGGCCCTTTCAGTTTTACTAGAGTATAATTTCCGGCTTTTACAAGATGGAGAACAAGATGGCACCCTGTGTGGTAAGAGGACTACTTGCATAGGTGTCAGTGAGTTAAGCGACACTCAGTACCCAGGGCTCGTAACAAGGAGCAGATCTGAAGTCCTTTGTGAAGATGTGGGTGGAGAGGCCCGGCCAGGCACGCAAGGCTGCTTAGGATTAGTAGGAGCCGGCACTCAAGCCTGATAATTGTCTGAGGGAGAACTATGGTGTCCCAAAAGGTCCAAAAGTGATACTGGCCTTGTTAGGATACAGATAGCCAGAATAGAGATAAATATGAACGAGAAAGCGTGACTGGGGTCGATGATTTTGTGGTCGCATCAGCGTTACCTATATGTAGAGTGAGGGTGGTGGATTTTAAGTCAGTAAAATGCAACGAGGTCAGCTCTTCATTTTGTTTCATTTGGCCATGCTAAATACCTATCTTTGGAGTTGTTCAAGCCCTTCTAGGCAAGAAATCCTAAGCAACACAGCAACAAACGATGTTCTCATTGAGGAAGCAGCAGAAGCAGGAGTTTGAGTCCCACAAATCCATCTTAATAGTCTTACCTGGCCCGGGTATAAGTGACAGCAGGCTTTGGGTGAACACACAAGGTGGTTTCTCCAGTTGCCTTGGCTGGACTTAGCGTGGATACACAACGTCATGAAGGAATTTAGAGGAATGGGAAAGATGTATCATTCGATAAAGCGCACTGGGCTGTGGTCACACCTGATCTTAAAACATGTAGGCCTATATCTTACATTTTCATGCATTCCTAATACTCCAAAATATTTAAATGAAGAAGGCATGGCATTTTGAAGTTAATGGACACTATGAGGCAATGTTTGCTTAAATTTGTAGCTGGAAAAGCCTTTCGAAGAGATCAAATCACGGATCCTGTTTCCTGGCCTGAATGCCCCCCACGTCTTGAGTCCTTCCAGAAGGAGGGGTCGCAGTGGAATTCTCTGGGGACTGTGGTGAGCTCACAGGCGCAAAACACTGAACAATGGCCGACTACATCGGCTGTCGCAGTTCCGCATCCAGCAAAGTGCTCAACACAGGATCACAAAGTCCAGAGAAGGAGAACATCAGGGGTCCCGTGTGCTTGGGCGCCCAGGGAGACGGCTGCTGGGAGAGCATCTGCCTGCCTTTCTCATCTTCCGGTGTCAATTTCTCTTCCTCCTCTCTAGGCTGCCTTTGGCTTTTCCAAGTTCTTCTTTTCAGGGGTAGAAGTTAGCCATTCTAACTTGCTTATGCTTTGCAAGTTTCAGATTTATTTATTTTCAGAAGGTCGGGGGCATGAGTTATGTGCAGAGACGGCTAGGAGGTGCAGAAACACATAGTTACATCGGGATACCTTTTATGACTTTTACAAAGAACCAGGAGGATTCGTGGCCGTGTGTCTCTTACTGTGATCATTTGTAAACTGACGAGTTAAAAGTAACTTTAACACAGAGCCATGTTGCTCTGATTTCATTCTGGAATGTGCCCCCAGGGCCTGTGTGCTAAAGGTTTGGTACCCTGGGTGGTACCACTGGAAGGAGCTGGGACCTTAGAGTGCTGGGATCTCAGGAGAGTTCTTCTTCACTGGGAGCCCGGAAAAGAAAGTGTGGGACCTCAATTTTGTGGGATCCCAAAGCTTTCAGGCCACAGATGAGTGGCTTTTCTCTGCCCGGTGACCCTGCTAAAGTACTACCTGGCCACAGGACTGGAAAGCCACAGAAACAAAAGATCTTGGAATGGGAACTGCAAACTCTGAACCAAAATAAACCTTTCCTCTTCACAAGTTAAGTCTCTCAGGTATTTTGTTATGGAGATGGAAAGATGACTAACACTTCATTGTGACTCTTTTTGTTACCAGCCAAAAATTTTATTATTTTATAACGAGCAAGCTGTCTTTATTATGTCTATTGCTGTCACCTGGTGCTGAGAGCATGTCTTATCCTGCCCCGCTTTAAACTTTTAAACAAACTCATTAATTCTCATAAGAGCCCTAACAGCACACTGTTTTCATCACAGCAGATATGTCCAGACCCAGTTGTGTGCTCCTTCCCAGGAATCCCTTTTCGCTCCACATTACCTGAATGATACATACTCTCAGCGGTCAGAGTGTGTCCCTTGGAGGCCTCCGCCGAATCTTCATTCATCAAGCAGTTATCTCCTCCATTGGCAGCTCATTCTGTTTCAGGCTCTGGCCAGAGGAGCGGAACAAAGCCTCTTCCCTGCATGAACCGAGTTCATCCTGTAGAAGGAGCAGGCAGACACAGGCATTTCAGAGAGAGAGAAGTCACAGAATCCATGCACGTATAAAGCACCAGCAAAGACCAGTGGAGGATGGGCCTCGCTTTGTGCAGAGCCAAGGAAAACACCAAAGGCCGTGGTGCTCGCACTGACAGTAGAGACTACTCAGGAGGGTGCAGAGTCCTCAGCAAGCCCTCCCTGGGCCAAGGGAATATCCTGAAGCCAACTCGTTCCTTTCTTAAATAATTTTTTTGTGTGCCCTGAGAGTGCATATTTTGGACCATAATCATGTGAGGCTTTGATTTAAAAACTCTATGGATGCAGGAAGAGGAATTTGTCTTTTGTATTCCCCTTTATATCTCTGTAAAATTTAGAAAACTGCTAGGTTTTTATCTCAAAACATAAGAGAACATTTCAGTAGGATGCCAATAACGCATAAAGATGACATGTTGTGATATTCTAGCAGGAAGGTTAAGAATTATTGTCTAAATTACCCTGCCTTGGTCTGGAGGAATATTCTCAAGGTGGACACAGATCAATTCCAGGAAACTCTTCAGTCTTTAAAAAAACTGAATCCCTGGGCTGGGGACATGGCTCAGAGGTACCTCTGCCTGCCTTGAAAGCACAAGGTCCTGAGTTCAATCCCCGGTACAAAAAAAAAGAAAGAAAGAAACTGAATCCCTGCTGTTTCAAGGTGCCTCAGGGTGGTGAGAGTGGCTCAGAATGTCCTAGGAATGCTATTAGCCCGATGACCACCCAGAACACACTCACAAATCAGAGCTTCCTCAAAAAGAGGAATTTACTTCCTTTCCTATACCAGCATGGCTTCTAATTGAAATATGTATTTGTCCACTGGGGACCCTCGCCCCATCAGACCCTGTCCCCAAATCACGGCAAAGTGAGAAGAAGACAATGACATTCCTACATCACATGATACTCAGAGATCAAAGCGATGTGTTGTTGCAACCCAGGGATGAGCCCTGAAAGGTGATTCATGTGGGAACAACCAGGAAACTGGAAAAAAGGGTAATAATTACTGTCTACATATTGGGAGTTTTCAGTAGAAAAACATGATTTGTTAATTGAGTTTGTGTCATGTAAACAAAACAAGGAAATAGTCATTTCACAACACAAAAACACCTCAGCAGGGTATAAAAGGGGATGCACAGCAAGGAGACTCCAAACAGAAACCTCACTCACCAGGAAACCCACCCAGCACCTCCAAACTCCAACACCATGGTCAACTCCTCTTGTGGCTCCGTCTGCTCCGAGCAGGGATGTGGCCAGGAGAGCTGCTGCCAGCCCAGCTGCTGCCAGCCCAGCTGTTTCCAGACCACCTGCTGCAGGACCACCTGCTGCCGCCCCAGCTGCTGTGTGTCCAGCTGCTGCAGGCCCCAGTGCTGCCAGTCTGTGTGCTGCCAGCCCACCTGCTGCAGGCCCCAGTGCTGCCGCCCCAGCTGCTGTGTGTCCAGCT